TTTTTTTTTTTTTGGGGGGAGAGGGGGGGGGACGCCAGGCGCAGTTGATGACCATTGACTTGTAAACCTGCATGGCTCAAAGGTCGACCCCCATGATCAGCGCACACAAGCATTCAATTCCATGCCTTTTTCGTTATGTTGTCCCGAGGTGGGTATTACTCAGTGCTCATCATCATCCACGGGGACGGTTGATAATGAGAAAGGATGTGTGATGTGTTTCTTTTTTTCAGCACTTGCAGTTGCGGTAACAAGGGAGGAGCGCACCTGTTGAGGTTAACTCGCGTGCCGTTTCAAATGCCGTCAAAGAAGGCTAATAGATTGGGATTCTCATCCCACCGGACATATTTATTTAATTACTGTGACATTTAACTAGATTGACTCCAAAGTACCTATACAAGTGATATGTTATGAAGAGTAAAACAAACTAGTAATTTACATTCAAACACGAAAATTGCCAAGTCTTCTTCTTGAAAAAAAGGGGGGGGAGGAGGGGTTCTTCAACAACTTTTCAAAACACTTTATTCTTCATCTTCACCATCGGAACAGGAGGAAGAGAAGTCAAAATCAGACTGCGAATCATCCAGACCGGAAGACGACCCGAGGACGGGAAGCAGCTCGATGTCGGTCTCACCAGACTCTTGATCATCGCTCTTTGTTGTAGATTTTTTGGACGGGTTAGATTTGATTCTCTTACTAGACCTATAAGTGGTAGTTTGAACGACCTGAGCACTGGGCTCTTTCTGTTTGGATCGAGCTGGTTGACGAGTGGCGGGTCGAGACGTGGCCGAGGGTTTGTCGACCGGCGCAATCTTTTTTTTCGGCTGAGTTTTCCGGACCTTTCGTGGTGGGTTTTCTGCTGCTGTTGGCTTGATCGGCTTGGCTCGTTTTGGTCGCTTGCCAGAAGGACGCACAACAACCTCCTCCGATAAGGACCCTTCGTCTTCTTCTTGCTGCTGCTCTGTTGTCTTCTCCTTTCCATGATTCTTGTTGGCTTGCTGCTTCTTTTTTTTCTCTCGCCAGTTCTGGACTATTTTTTGTAATCTTTGGCTTGAAATTCCGCTGTCAATACTGGATTGGCCATTCAACCATTATCATAACGAGCCAAGATGAAACATTGATGATCAGTTCGTTATCTTTGACTGGCTCGACCAACACCCGGCATGTCCAAACTAATTTTCCCGCTTACCGAGGCGGTGCAAGCCGATTAGTCTTATTACTCTCGACCGAATAATCGAAAAAGTCGTCCAAGACCCCTTGAGTCTGAACCGTACCATTCAACCTTTGAGTTTGTCTTTTAATCAATGGGACAATCACTTCATCGGTTTTGATGGACGACCAGCTCAGATGATCGTACAAAAACCTGCATCAAAATTCCGTCCAACAATATTAACTCATCAATCATCCCACCGGTCTTTCTTCATCATCCAGTCAAAAAAATAAATAAATACTGACTCTCGAATTCCATCTAGATCAGGTAATCCCCAAACAAACTTCTCAGTCGAATGATCAACCGTTGGATGAAGATAAGCCTCGGCCACAGCGGGGTTGGGCCAATGATCGTCAATCCAAATTTTATCCTTTTTTTTACGCTAGATTATGGGGATTTTTTTTTTTTTTTTAGTTTTCTTTGCACACAAGTTGAATCATTTAAGAATGGTTGAATCATTGACTTTGCTCACTCACAAATTTTTTCCTGAAGGATGTTCGAGACTCGAGTTCAGTATCCTTACCCACCTGAACTTTCTCCCACCAGTTTTTAAAGTTCAAGAGACCGGATAGATTAGGATTATGATGAGCAGTGGCTACGCCAGCCGAAAAGGCAGGATCGAATTCGGACAAGATTTCCATGGCGGTCACTGGGCCGACGCCGTTCAAGCCGACGGTGTAATCCGAACCCAATAGGAAGGCTAGTTGGATGAGCTTCTGTTGATCGAGCCCTAACTCTTGATCCAAATCATTCATCAGGTAACATTCTACAAACTTGTTCTGGTTGAACAAATTCTTGTAAACTCGGTGGCCTCCAAATAAGAAGACATCCGAATCATCAGTGATGATCCCATCTACTAAGCCCAACTTCAATAGTTCCGCACATTGCGCCTCTGCTTCCATGGGTGAAACGACAAAGGGGATCCCAAACAATTTCAACAGGTTTTGGATATCCTGAGACATTTGGAGATTAACATCATCCGCATCCCTCCTATCTTTCGCCTTTTGTTCCTTCAATCGTTGGACCTCCGAGTCGGCTTCTTGTCTGATCCCCTCAAGTTTCTCCTGATCCTCCAAACCTGACAGAAAGCTTTCCCATTCGTTTGACTCCATTGCAAGATTCGCATCTATTGCTTTCTCTTCCGCCTCGATCACTCGATTGAATTCTTCTTCATCCGAGCCAATTGCCTCAGCTTCTTTCTCGATTGATCGCTCGGGCGTCGGTGTGCGAGACCATGGAATGCTGATTTCGGGTGACTCTGAGCGTACGTTATTGTTTCCCAAGTCTGACCGCTTCGCCTCACCTTGCTGAGGGGACTTGTCACCTTGTGGGACCAAACGATCATCTTCGATCTTGTCAGGAGAAGCCTTGTCCAATTCAGTGGTGTCCGAAGCAAAATGCACGGCTCGATCTTGACTCGGGGTTTCTTTGGAGGTGGAAATAGTCGGACTGGGTAGAAGATTCGAATTTGCCTCAGAAGTAGAAAGCTTGGATTGACTAATTGGAACATGACCAATAGATGTAGAAGGAAGAGTCTGTCCTTCTGGCAATGACGATGGTGACGGTGACAAATTCGACGGCTTGCTTGGGTCATTAGAAGATGTGTCAGTGCTTTTCGGGAGCTCCTCTGGTGGCAAATTATCTTTCCTTTCCAGGACTGTGCTAGGACAAGATTTCGTTCGGTTCTCGCTGGAATCCAAGGAAGGCGGCTCATCTTGATCGCGCTTAGGAGCTTCGCTTGCCGCCTCACCGAGTGTTGACGTATTAGCAATAGATGGAATTGTGACTTGAGGTGTATCATCGTCAGGCATTGTGACGGTTTCGTTAGATCGGAGATCTGATTCTTGACTGATTTGCTTATTTTGCCGGTCAGCTTTTTCGGTCGACAAGATCGGCGATTCTTCTGGATTGGAGGTAACAGTTTGAGTTGGATTAGCTTGTGAGGCTGTTTGAGTTTCTGGCAGGGGCGGAATGGTTGAAGGTATCAGGAAATTGTCGTCCTCTTCTAATTCAACCGATTCCAAGATGCTATTGATCATCTCCTTAGAAGCGACGTGTGGTTGAGACTTTGTAGGCGAAGTAGTACTAGCAAGTGTATTGAACTGTTGCTTTGGTGTCTCTGTTGGTTTATTCTGCGGAGTCATCGTTCTAGTTCCCTTACTCGATCCCTCGCCCAAGTCGCGATTAGGGCCAGACTGGTTAGAAGTGTCATGGGCCACCAATTCAGATATGATGTCTCTCATCACTTCATCCTCCTCATCTGATTGTCGAAATAGCTCGACTTCATCCTTAGACTTGGGGGCGGAGGTCTCCTCCACCTCGACTGCTGAATCGGGGTCCCTCGTCCCATAATGAAAGCGGATGGCCTCCCTCCAGTCAGCTTCTTGCTGCTCTCGGGTTGGCTTAGGCTTGCTAGGCGCAGCTGGTAGAGGGACTTCTTCGAATTCAAGTTCATCGTCTGAATCCTTTGACAATTGCTTATCTCGCTTCGGAGTGTCCATTTTAACTTCCTCGAACTCTACATCCTCGTCCTCGGATTCTGCGTCGACCTTCACTGGGTTCGTAGCACTCCCAGTGTCCTTCTGATCATCATTTTCAATCCCTAAGATCCAACCCTCTGAGGCTTTGACGAGGACGTATTCCTTGTTTCTTTGAGCAGCGATTTTGATGGGAATGGTCAGGTTGGCCTTGGCGACCATATCAGTAACAGTTAAAAGCTTCTGAGTAAGATCGTTACGTTTCTTGAGGTTCAAGATCTGTGTTTGGCTGAATTCATGATCATTCGTCTTGCGCATCGCCTCCACCCTCGTTCTATTGGGCTGACGAGACTTGATGCGGAGATCGCCGATGATTTCATACTTCAATTCAGTCGATAGAGACTGGAAATGAGGCGAGTTGATATCCAAATCTTCAGGAGTGAACTCGTGGATGAATTGCTTTAATTCCATCTCAGTTGCCAATCGATGATCTGAGTCGTTCTCGGTAACCGAAGGCACCTTTTCAATGGGTGGAAGTTGGTACTGATCCTTAGGAACAAATCTTGACTTTTTTGTAGGTGAAGGAATTGGTGTGGTAGTGGTAGTGCTGGTTGTGGTAGTTGGGTCCATGGGATCCGACTGGCGTTTCTTCCGAGCGGCATTCTTTTCGGAAAAGTCTTGGGCAATCGGATGGTCGAAGTATACAGCATCTGGTGTGATCAGTTCACCTGTTGCTTTAACTTGCGAACGCCTTTGGATTGGATCACGTTGACAAAACATGTCAAAATTGAGGCGCAAGATCTAATGAGAAAAGAAAAAGAGAAACATCCATTGAGATAAACTAACTTTTGGGCTTCTATTACGGCTGCTTGTCTAAGTTGGGCTGCGAGTAACTTCTCCGCCGTCTTTGCCAGATTCTCCTGCACGCCTCGTTTCCGTTTCTTCCTTTCGTTCTGAGAACAAGAAATAAATGGGAAAGATGATCAAGATGCGATTCTCTGTCCCCAGAAGAAGGAGATTATTTCCTTATGTGCGTGTTGGAAAAAAGGATTGAACGCGTACAATGGTTTGTTTTTTGAGTGTTGGGACACCGCCATCGAATACAAATACAGGTTTGATACCATAGTACAACAGTTTCGAAATCCTTCGCAGGAAACCTAAGATATGAGCATTCACGATCCCTTTTCCTTCGCGATCCCTCATCGCTTTTTGAAACTGAGTTGAGAGAAATCACATGGGATTTTGACAAAGGTCAGACTTATCTCTTTGAGGATAAAGGGATAGATTTCGAAGATAAGGATGGGAGGAATCAACGATACCTGATAGAGCCAGATGGATGAATCTATGGCCAATTTCTTGCTGCCCATCGTCTCGAGATTGACTGGACGGGCGACGGGTGAGATGAGCGTCCATAATCCTATAGTATTGGAGAGCAAAGGTTTCGGTAAGCTGTTGACTGATGAAGGAAGGATTGAGAGCAGCCCAAAGAAATTCATATACATACATACCCTGCACACCCATCCTGGCCTAAAGCGTGAAGAGGAGAGACCAACCGAGTGAAGTTTGATGGCGAGATTGTATGTGGAGTGGTTGGAAGTGCAAGTTCCAGTCGAATGTTGATGGCTGCCGTCCACCCTCGAGAGTTGCACCCCTTTGATCCGCACCCAGGGCAAGATTGACTGTAGCAGTAGTACCACTCCTCCACTCTCAGACACATCTTCCAACAGAAAAGAAGGAGACACTCCATTTGTGTGTGTCGCATCCATGGAAAACCAAGGCGAAAAAAGCATAGGATCAACACGCCAGCCTTCAGACCATTTGGCCATCCCATGCCAACTACATATTTTTCACTCTTCCTGAAGCGCCCATCCTACCTTTGAGACTGCATCTAACACGACGAAACAAATCCCAGTACGTCCTTCCAAATTTGACCTTGCTCAAGGACCAAACCCTGAAGAAGGTAGATAGAAAGAGGATTGAAGGGGACACTTTGAATCCAACTATTATCCTGGCCAGGATGATCCCAAACGAATTAGCTAGAATATAGGACTTGCAGCCTTGAAATGATAAAATGAAAGGATGATTATAGTCATACATTTGAGATACATATGAATAATATTGCTCGTTTTTTTTTTCTAAATTATATCATCAGATTTGTATATTATATCAAAAACATAAAGCCATCATCATCATCATCATCACCGAAAAAAAAACGAGGAAGACGAAGACAATCAAGTACAAGCAAAAAAAAATGCGGGGAGAGGGGGAGAGGGAGAGAGGGGCATGGGAAAAGAAAAAAAAAAGATGTGTGTAAAAGAAAAATTGGCAACACTTTTTAAAAAGACGAATGATAGTGACATAATATAGGAAGAGAAAAAAAATACGACGAAGAATCAAACAAAAAAAAATGCAGGTCAAAAATCAACAGCCAAAAAAAAAAAAAAAAAAACGACGGGTAAGATGAAGAAGTGGTTATCAAGTACAAAGAAGAAGAAAAAATGAAGGGGATAAAAGCACAGAACAGAGGGGATATACATGTATCATGATCATGTTTACTTTTTTTTGTGGTGTATATGTAGGGAAAAAAGAGAAAAGGGGGGGGGGGATAAGGATTTATTTAGTTTTGTGATGAGAGAGAGAGAGATGGAATAGGGAGGTCTACAGAGCAATGGAACGATGAAGGGGGGAGTCTAGAGGGGATCAGATGCGTTCGAAGGAGTCTGAGCCAAGATCGGACCAGTTCCCGTCGAGAGAGGGAGAGTTAGTGGAAGTCTGAACGGGTTCGTCCGCAACCGACCAGTCGTCGGAGTCACTCGCAAAGGAGGTATCGACGGGCAGCTGAGGGACGGGCAGTTCGAAGGGACTCTTGGGCGAGGATGGGGCCGAGAGCTGGCAGGGCGATTGGTCGGCTTCCCGGTCCGTTTGAGATCTCTGGGGTTCCTCGGAGTACTCGGGCTGTTCGGATGCTTGCATGCTGGCTGGTTGGAGCGGATCAGAGTCTTGCGGCTCGAGCCCTAGTAGCCGGCCCAGTGTGGTGCTCTCCTCCTGCGGCTTCCAGTCAATCAATGGCGTTTCGTCGGACACGTCCGTGGATTGATCCTGGTCCTGCGAAAGCAGAGCCTCCGTCGAGTCTTGCAGTTCCCGAGAAGCGCTCCCTTCCGCCTCCACAGACTCCTCCAGACTTGGTGCGATGAAGATCACAGGGTCGGGGATGGGGATGTCGAGGATTGGGTTGAATGAAGGGATTTTGTTCAGGTGTGAATTCGAGGAGCTTGAGGATCGGCTCGGGCTCGTCGATCGATGGGAACGTGGGATGGGTGGATAAAATTGTTGGCCAAGGTCGATTAGGGGATAGTCCTTCAGGTGGTAGAAAAGAGAGAAGCAGATTAGTCTATCTTGACTTGAAGAGATGCATACGGGGCGAAATCTAGGAAAAGTAAGCCCTTACCATCTTTTCCTGAGGAGTGGATTGGTTGGTAGAACGGTGTCTGAGGCTGGTGTGGTGAATGTTTTTGAGGCTCGAGCTGGATTGCTGGGCCTTATCGTCGAGTTCAGCGTCTCTCAAGCCCTGGAGTCTGCGATTGCGGGATTCCTTTTCGGCCCGGATGGTTGCACAGTAGGTCTGGTAGGCCTCCTCCTCGTCCGACTTCCGGTTCAGCTCGGTGTAGATCACGTATCCCGCTCCGACGATGATGGCCATTCCTGCGGCAAAGACGATGGGATGAGGCATGCTTGGAAGTAGTGGCTTTCTATTTGTTTGAATGGGCTCCTGTGATGTGAGTTGAGTTTCAAGTTGTCTTCTTCTTCTTGTTCTTGAAAACTGGTGTGAAATTTGAAGATATGGCAAGGGTAAATAGGAGAAGGCGGTTAATGTATTGTGAGATGAATTGATCCTGTTCTGTTTGGTTCTTTGCACTTTCCCTGGTTGAGCTGACAAGACAGTGGGTGAGAGGGTCTTATGTATGTACTGGGTGACGGTGTGCTCTTAGTCAATCCGACAAGCAAGCTGGCAATCAAAACCCCGAAAACAAGCCGACTCACAGATTGGCGGCGACTACGAGATGATGTGTATGGTTACAGTAGCTTGGTGCCCAGAGCAGCTGTTGCCTATGAACAGAGTAAACAACCTAGTACTGAGTTCCGAGGAGTAGAGGATGCTCAGCGAGCGGAGGATTGGGGGAAGCTTGCAGATTCTTCAGTCATGGCCATCCATCGATGGGCTTGTTTCTATCGCCCGGCTGATGCGGCTGGCAGTGGAAGGAGAATGAGATCGGGAGATTCCCAGTGGAGACAGCATTAAGTGTTCCTCCGGTCGATCGGGAACTCATGCCGAGTCGGTTGCCGGCGATCTTGGTCGGTTGCAGTGAATCCTGCGGTGGGCGAATCTGGAAGCAATAAGTAGAAGCCATGTGTATAATTCTAAGGTGGATCCTCATTACCCCATTGAGGAGTAATGAAAAGTCTGATTTGCATTCACAATACTCAGACTTGCCACTTCCAAGCTGGCCTCCAGGGATTTACTCGCTTGCCGGTGAATAACACTCCCCGGCGATGTTCTATATACAGGTTTGTGGAATCTCACTCGGAGCAAGTACACACACCTTTTGCCTGCTCGCTGGGGTGTGATTGTGTAGGATTTTTGTTACTGGGGCCCACTTTGCACCCTGCGGGCGAACAAAATTGCTGGCTGGGTACAAGTTGCTCCTGGCCGAGCAACGCTTGAAAAGTGATACTCAGATCCGGGTCTTGAACAAGTGAGGCCAACTCGCTGGTCTTACAAAGCTCTTTCTAAAACATCTTGAATTGATTGCACTTGTTTTACTTGCCATTGAGCTTGCCGATGCCTATACATCTAGAGGCCATCAAGCCCATGGAAATCAAACTTTAGCTCACTTCACTTTCTAAACAGACAAGTTCATCAGCAAAGCCAAATTTCCTTTCGTTGATGAGGGCTCCTTTCATTACTTCGTGTGGTGAACAAATACGTACTTAGTAGGATCACATCATGGGTAACCGATACACAGATATTAATGTTTCATTATGTATTTCTGCTCTACTTTTTGTTTCCAGATTCCGTCAGGCGAATCCTGCTGCTGCTTGCTTGATGAGCGACCAGTCAATCATCTTCTCATCCTCAAAAGTCAAGACCAGGCAAGAGGCTCCACTCTGCTCTCATCTCATTTTCTCTCCATCTCCATCAAATGGGTGTTGGGCAGACTATGTATCTGCCAGGGATGACGTAGTCAAGCACATCACTCCAAAGACTCAAAAATGTTCCCCCCGCACCACACCATCGGCCAGGAATAGTTCCATGTAGCATGGATCAGATGGATCTACTGAGGAACTAACAAAACTAGTCAAACTCACATCGAGACCAGCTCAACCAGTGTCTGCTCGACAATCTCACAAGATGACGGGTTATGAAGAAAGTGCGAACTGTACGCGCGCGGCTGAGAAGGAAGAGCCGTCTTGTCTTGCAAAAGATCCGTAACATGCCAGGATCGGGTGATCGGTGGATTCAGGAGATTCAGATTTGATGATAAACGGAGACCAGAAGAATCGTACAAGGTGACTAAGGAGGATCATGAGTGTATATATTAACAAGTAGATAGGGGGGGGTTCGATTATTTCTTGTCGCCTTGGCCAGTGATCCAGCCGAGCAAGCTATCCTTCTGCTTGATCTGATCTTCCGACTGCTTCCTGAGCTCCTGGATCGTCTTCGAGTCCGGCGAGGAAAGGTTGTCCCAGGCCACGTATCCCGAAAAGGCGATCAGTGCTATCCCAAAACCCGGAAACATGTTCCTGATCCTAATACATAAAAAAAAAAGTAAACAGGAATATATGGTCAATAATGATAAGAAAATCTATCTTGATCTTCTAAACTCAAGAAAAGATACTCAACTGTGTCCGTCTTGCGAAAACTGGATGCTGTTCATCAGATCCAAAAAAAAAAACCAATCGAGCAGAATTAACAGAGACAAAATAAGTAACGTCAATTTGATCGTTCTCCCTCTCTTGGCCCCACACAATCAGAAGTGAAAGCAACGAGATATCACTCAACTTGACGCCAGGCTTCCCTCTTCGCCCAGGGATCCCGATAGACCGTTTCGTTAGGAACACCCATCCCGACAATCAAACGAGGAAGACAAACAGGACGAAGTCGAGTACGATTCGGGTTTAATTGTTTTTTTTTATGTTATTCCTGGATTTACGTATTCGAAAATTTTAGCTTTTTCTTTCTATCAAGATAGCTATGGTGAGACGGCTAGGGGGAAAAGATATGTGCTTACCCACTTGTTCTCCGCTGGGATCGAGTCGTTTTTTGCAGCAGGATGCCGATGCCTCCCCTCTCTCCTCCGCTGTGGCGCCGGGACAAGCATGTAACACCACCTGTCAACACCCACAGATGTCACACAAACAGCCGGGACATCTCAAGTCACAGAAAAAGGTCTACTAGTCTACATATTTACTTCAATCACCAGGACATTACTGAATGAGACTTCTGAAAATACTTCAAATACAGGATATTTTGAAGGTTGACTTACCATTCAAGTGGAAGACATAATGAAATATTTGAATCCTCGAGATTTTTGACTGATTGTCAACTCAAATGACTATTTAGTCACAGAGAAAACAACAAACACTGAAAGGGATTTCGGATTAGGGTTCAAGATGGTTGGGTAAATACTGAGCCACCACAACCGAGAAATATATCTGACAGATCAGGTTGGGTCACATTTCAGAAACTTCTAAGCCAACCTGTCCTGGCATCAGAAAAGGCAATCTAGTAGTAGTAGACCTTGGGTCAGCCTGTCAAGGCAGGTGGACCTTGAGCTCTTGGTCCCTTTTCTTCTTCAAAAAACATTGATTGGTCCTTCTAGTTCCTAGTTGCAATGACCCAAGAACTTAAGCCAAAGACAATTAATAAGATAATGAATAAAATGATTATTGGATGGTCAACCCCGTTACCCCTTGGAGGCTCAATCTGAAGGACTTAGCCAACCCCAAGTTCAACCCACCATGGGCCACCCAGGACCTGAAGTTTTCCCCTTGGGTTTTCAACAGCTGTTGGAATGGTCCACAAGGTCCACTTGACTGACCCACAAAAAAGGGCTTATGAGTATGTTCTGAATGTGGCAATGTCAACACTCATTGTTGTGAGTCAATGTAGGTCCAAGAGCTGTTTGCCAATGCATCACCATGTACAGCTATTCTGGGAAAGGTTGTTTGACCTGAAAAAAAAATCCTCCTCAATTTTTTTTCTCTTTTTCATCTAGTCATGTGCATAAACCACATCAACTCAACAGGAATCGACTAACTCAAGGAGGACTCCCACTTCAAAGGGTGCTCCAATCTGCCTAAATTGATTCCTTGTTGAGTTGTCTAAGCTTATGCCTTATAAGGAGCATACATAATGTTTGAAGAAAACAAATTGGAAGAAATTTTCTTTAGACTTGGACAAACTTTCCCAGAACAGCTGTAGATTGCCTCTGATTGCCTCAAGTTGTTTGTTTTGTCAGCTGTTGTACTCAGACCACCTGAAGTTGACATGCAGGTCATTCAAAGTGGTTTTGAACCAAACACCTTTGAATGACTTGACAATGTCTTGTAGAGAAGTCCTGAGAGGATTGGAGGACTTCTGGTTGCCTAAACCGCTTGATCCAGAAGGGGGTCCTAAACTCTATTGGCTGGTGAAAACTTGATCTTGATCAATTTTTGCCAGCAAATAAAGTTCAGGATGTCCTTCTAAATTAACAGATTTGGACAACAGTAAGTCCTCCATTGTGTGGTTTGTTGGCTTGAGGATATTTAAAGGGGTGTTGAGTTTTTCACCTCTCCGGCCTACTCTTCCCCAAAATCACTTATTTTTTCTCCCTTATTCTTTCTTGAATCATCTTGACCTGAACTGAATTATATTCAATCATAGCTGTTTTTTGTGTTAAATCTTATGCTCTGTTGTAGTCTAATTAGAACTCATCATGGCAATTTTCATCAAACAACTCTAGTCTTATTGATTGATTTCTTTCTTTTTCTAGTTCACTATTTGATTCTTTAAAAACTGATCATTGAGAATGAATGATTGAGTTTTTTCAGACATGCATGATGGTGACTATTTGAATTTCAGTGCTATTTTCAAGGGATTCATCATTGCAATTTTACATTGTTTCAGAGCCAACAACTGATAATGAGGTTCCACAAAGAACGTGAAATTTTCTTCATAAATAATGTGCTAAAAAAATGATCAGTTCAGACATGAACTGGCCTATTTGAAGAACCAAACGACTTCCCATCAAGATCCCATGGGGCCCCAAGAATCAATTTGGAGTCTCAAAAGCTTGATCTCCCTACAAAAATTTGATGTATTTGGGTCTCAATCAACGTCTTGAAGGATTCCAGATTCAAATTAAATCCAGAGGCTCATTGGTGGTAAAAACTTGATCTCCATTAATCTTCACCTGCAAATAACGTTGAGACCTCGTTCTCAGTCTGCAAGCCACTCAAGCTATGGCAAAGCCTCTATGAAGACTTTTCTAATTGGCACTTAAACATAAGGAGTTCAACCAACAACAATATGCTCTGAGGGTATCCCAACCACCATGGGCAGCTTCAGTCTTCAGACCAGGGGCGTCTGAGGAATGTTGGTCGAATTCCAATACTTGCCGGGCGGTGCTCTGATGCCGATGCGTGCTGGTGAGAAATGCGAAGAGACAAAGTCAACAAGCATTCGGCTGCATGTGCCCGGGACCGTGGGACGCGGTGGGCGTCGAGAGGTGCCCCATGGAGAGAACACATTTGCTAGTCATTCTCACCACAAAATCTACAAAACCATAGAGAATCAATTCATGTTTGCCACACACGTAGAAAACGCGCACTGTTGCTCACAGTTACACTCAAGGCAATACTGATCTTGCCCCCGGCAGCACTCAATCCCACTGCAGATGGACCCTTGGGCAGTCAAAGGACTCGCGGAACCGTTAGCCTAATGACTATATACAGTGGCACTCATTCGGGTACCATTGGCCCATCTCATCCACTCATCTCCTCACCGTTGAATATAGTGTATCCACCTATCAATCTAATTATCCCTCCAAAACACCATAACACCCCTAAAATTCACAATGACTTCCTTGACCTACTTGATCACCCTTCTATCTGTCCTCGTCGCTGTTTCTCGTGCCGAAGACGTGACTACCGTCAAAAATGAAAACGTGGATGCCAAATGGCGCGGCGGATATTTCGGATTCAACAGCATGTATAACATGAACAGCTGGTACGCCTACAGCGGTTTGTCGATGCAGCTCGTGGGTGGTTCATGGCTCAACAACTGGGCCGGAATGCTCACCGGCTGCTCTGGAGGACTCTTCTTTCCGTCGGCCTGGGGCATGAACGGATTCTTTGCCAAGGCCGCCGAAGAGGCTCACAGCGTCAGCCGACGGGCCATCACCCTCGATGCCGAACAGTTCTTCCGTCGGGACCAGGTCGCCGACAGCGCAACCTGTCTTAACAACAAGGGAGTCCATGAGGTTTACTCTAAAACCGACTGTAAAAAGTACGTTCAACGTTGCAAGCCCTTCTCTCGCTTTGATCACCAGTTGATCTTTTCTGAAAAATTTATTTATCCAGTGCCGCAAAGATCTTGCACGAGAAGAATGTCCACACTGCTTCCAGTGGAAACTGCCAAGTGAGTTCCACCCTGATCACAACTTCGCGGTGTCTGCTGGAGACTACCCTATGTGATTGACAGCCTTGGATTCCATTTCTTCATCGTCCAGTTGTCTCTTTACACCGCCAAGGAAAAAGTTTTCGCCAAGCAACTGTAAGCAACCTTCATTTTCATCCGGCCAAACACAAATCCCCAGAAAGCTAACATGAATAATGTGTGGTCTGTCTTTTACTACAGCCCGGATCAAATGCTTATGAAAGCCGCCGACCGGATCTTGAGCACCTGCGGCGAAAAAGCCACCCATCCCAAGGACTCTAACCAATTGCACATCAAGGACGACCAAGTCGCCATGCTCCTCTCCAGACCCTCTCACCAGTGATATCATTTACCAAAGTTTCACTTGTAACAGCCGATCAAATTCATATAGAAGTTTTTCTCTTGTATCTAATCCTGTCTGTTGATTTCTAAATTATCATTGTAGTGTTTTGCATGTTTCCAATTTATCAAATTTTGTTATTGCAAAAAGCAACTGCTTCCATCCAGGACTAGTGGTTCAACCCCGAGACAACCAAGTTTTAGGCTGCAATAAAAGCATCTACTGAAATTCTTCTTCACCCGGTTATCTCAAACCTTTGGGCTTCAGCCCGGCGCACACCTTCACAATTGCAGTGATAAGAGTCTCCTGGCTAGGAAGAGAAGCTGCGAGGTGTTCCAAGCCTCAAGGGGCACAGGCTGGGGACAACAAACTTGGGTTATTAACGGCACCAAATGGTGCAATTAAGAATCGACACCAATAATTGAACAGGGCATGAGACGCACATCAATAATCTTGGTTGCCCAACACATTGCTCCTGGATGCGGTATGTTTTTTGTGCTTGTCCGCTTATTTTACGAACTTCATTACTGTCATCAAGACTCTTGGCCATTTTGGCGATTACCCAATATGTCTGCTGCTGCTTTCTCCGATGACATTCACACCTGAAGAGTTCGATGGGGAACAATCTTTGAGAGCCTCTCGACCACCATGGGCCTGAGACTGGTGGGAACTGAGGGATGGTGTTAAACCGATCCCATCTTAACCAAGTGCCTCCGGAGCCGGCGGCGCGAAGAAGAGCCGATCCCAATTCCTTCGCCCAGTACACATATCATCGGGCCCTCCGTGCCGGTGAGAAATACACGAAGAGTGAGCTGACGATCGTTCAGCAGCATACATGTCCGGTTGCTTTCGTTTTAAAGGGATTCTCAATCTTATGTAATTTCCTAGCACATATTTCTCAACACTTCTCAGCATCAAACCCACATCGACGACCATGGAGAATCGCTGACCGTTTATACACGTAAAGATAGCACACTGTTGGCCAGTAGCACCCAAGACAACACTGATCTTGGCTCCAAACGCACTCAATGCAGATGGACCTGTGGCCCGGTGGTAGATGGCATTCAAAGGACTCGCTGAACGGCCATCCAGTTGGCTATATAAAACGGCACTCGTTCGGGTACAATTGTCCCATCTCATCCACTCATCCACTCACCGCTGAACAGAGTGTATCCTCTCATAAATTCATCCATCCCCCTCAAAAAAGACATCTTGACTCCCCTGAATTTCACCATGGTTTCCTTGCCCAACTTGATTGCCCTTCTCTCTGTCTTCGTTGCCGTTTCTCGTGCCGCAGACATAACTGCAGCCAAAAACCAAGACGTGAACGCCAAATGGTTCGGATTCGACGGCATGTTGGGCTGGAACACCTGGAGCGGCTTCGACCTGGACTTCATGGGTACTCCATGGCTCAACAGCTGGGCCGGACTGCTCCCCAGCTGCGCCGGAGGACTCGTCTTTCCATCCACCTGGGGCATGAACGGATTCTTTGCGAAGGCCTCCGAAGAGGCTCGAAGCGTCAGCCGACGGGCCATCAACCTCGATGCCGAACAGCTCTTCCGTCGAGACCAGCTCCAGTCTGACACCGCCAGCTGTCTCAACGACAAGGGAGTCTATGAGCTTTACTCCAAATCCGACTGCAAAAAGTACGTCCCACTTGGCTGACGCCCTCCTCTTCCTATGTCATCGACAGCTGACCTTTTCGCATCATGCTTAGGGCCGCCAAGATGTTGCATGAGAAGGATGTCCACACTGCCTCCAGTGGAAATTGCCAAGTGAGTCCCACCTTGACAGAAGAGCTGTATGCGCTGGAGACAACCCTACTGACAGCCTTGAACTTCATCCTTCAGTTATCTCTTTACAACGCCAACGAAAAGGTTTTTGCTAAACAACTGTAAGCCGGCTTGAATTTCTTCCAACCGCGTGGTCAGACAGCTCACGGTCTGTCATGATGTCTTTTTGGTTTATGTATTTTAGGCCGGATCAGATGCTCGTCAAAGCCGCCGACCGGATCTTGAGCACGTGTGGCCAAAAAGCCAGCCAACCTAAGGGCTCTCAACAACCCCGCGTCGAGGACAACCAGGTGGCCATGCTCCTCTCCAGACCGTCCAAGTGATACGTAGCACTCTCAGCCAAGTTCCACTTTAAGCATCTTGGATATGTATTCAGAAAGTTTGTATCCGTATAATATCACTCCATGATATATTAAGTGATTGTGCATATGTAGCTCCAATGGACCATTTTTCTCGATCGGAAAAGTTACTCTGTAATTTATTTTATTTTTTTCTCTTAGTAATCTCATCTTAGAAGAAACATATCTAGAAGTCCCTATCCCAAACAGAAATCTAGTTTGTTCTCGAATCCATTCAACCGCAGACACAGTTGCACAGATGGCGTTTTCCCATGAACATCTCGGGTAAAAAAAACAGTGTCATGAGGCTCAGTGAGTCGGAGGAGATTCCAGGTGTGGATTTCCGATCTCTCTCATCAGTTTTGGCCCGGTACATGATTGAGTTCTGCGTCCACTTCAAAAGAATAAATGCAGAAGTTAAAATTACGTTCGATGTGCAAGCGTGAAGGAGAAGACTTACATACACTAACACGTGAACAAATCTTGAAGAACTGGTTTATATTTTCAGTCTACAAGGTTACTGTAACATATACCAGATTCCTGCTTCAAGTCCGGTTTCCAAATCTAGACAATCTTTCTCTATAGGTTCATTAGCAGGGATTGAGCAGATTGAGGCAAGACAAAACAGGAAGAAGAAGAGAGCGACAGATCGACGGGAGTAAGCTGATCAACACCCGGCTCAAACACAGTGGAAAGCTGATCAAGGGGTATAGGGGAGTTGGAAAGGATGGAGAAGTTGGAAGATGGGGCAGTCGAAGAGGATTCGGGACAATCGAAGTCATTTGGTAGATGGTGTTGAGAAGCCGATTTCGGGTCGATTGCAGTCGAACAAGACGGCGGGAAAAGGTCGTTCGGATACGGTCCTATGGCGATCCTTTTCGATCGCTCGATCACCGGACCCGTGCTGCTATGGAGTAACAATACCAAATCTTCCGATTCATACGTTCGAACCTGGATCCATTCAAGATAAACCGTCAGGTCAGGAAAGAGGGGATTATAGTGCAAATTTCGGTTGGTATTGAGAGTGAAAATGTTCTTGAATTCATATCTGAGGGGCCAGAAAGGAAAATGATATGAGGCTGTGGGGAAGAACTCACTTGTTGAGAAACCAGGAGAAGAATACTATGAGACACGTGAGCTAACGAGGTACTTCCTGAGAGTGGGGGTGCAAGGATAGCAGCGTGATGGATCCGAGAGAGTTGAAGGGTCGAGAGATGAGGGAAAAGAGCACGTAGATCGAGTACGACGTTTGAGAGATCGGAAAGGGCCAGGATATGGAGGGGTTGGAGCGGCGAGAATGGGCGAATGAAGAGGTTTTTTGAATGAGGGTTCAGATCAAACGGATTTGTCGTTCTATTCGATAGTGGTGATGGCATTTGGTCGGCTGGTTTGGCTTCTGATGGATTCGAGTTGCTGGTTGATGGGGCCTGAAATTGTGCTGCTGGTCTCTTAAAACCAAACTTCTTGGGCTTCGACTTGAATGGATTCTCTCTCTTGTCGTCTCCATTTGATGAATATCTAGCTTGCTGTAATTTAGATATCTCGCTTTCCAGCTCTTTCAACTTCTGATCAAATCGCCTCGTCAAAATTCAATTTGAACAAATTTCGAAAACGAAAAAGAATGGGAGCGTCAGTGTTCAATATAAATACATAAGAAACAATAAGAAAAAAAGAGTCACTCAACATTCAACAACCTTTGTTGATCGAAAGTAGAGATAAATGAGGAATCATGGATGTTTGATTGATTTTGTTGATTGATGAACAAGTTAAACTGATGCAAGAGGGTGAGTTTGCGAGCAAATAATTCCTGAGATTGATCGATAGAATCCGGGGCGGTCTTGGCCTTGATGTGAGAGACATCGGCTTCTAAGTCTTCATGTGAGGAGTGAATCGGTCCCACCATTTTTTTTTTTTTTTGACAATGACTTGAGTCAATAACTGTGTGTTAGATCCTCTCGAAGATGAAAAGCCATTCACCTTTTAATGATTTCTCGAATTGCTGAAGATTGACTGTGTTCAGTTCGATAAATTGGTCGGATTTGGGAGCTTGCTTGGTTCCATCTGAGCCATGAACCGGAACAATATCCTGACGACCCGACATCTCATAAGCTCCACGAAGATTCGTTCGTAGATGGTATGATGTCGTGTTTCTTCTGTTGGATGCGCCAAACACATTCAAGAGTTTTTAATACGTCCTTTATCAGTCTGAAGCTTTCGGATCATGGCTTGATGATAGCTTGGACAGAGTAACTCACCAAAACAAAGATTAGCCAAGCTGACGAGCGTGTTGAGGTTCCTGGTTGAAAGTTGGAACTTGGAAACTTGACCGAATAAAAATGATCACTAGAGTACCCCAGCTCAACTTCTTTCCTATTAGAAACGCAACCATCCAAGCTTCTTTGAAAATACCTTCTTATACTCAAATGTGGAACACACGGTGTAACCTCAACACGCACGTGCTTCGATAAAGATTGATCATCAACACACTAAAGTCTAATTTATTGAGCCACATGAGCAAAAAAAAAAAATGAATTATTATGGTTTTCATGATCTTACAAAGAAATAAAACTCAGTCCCAATATATTTGCATCTACTCAAAATGTAAGCACTCAGATGTACAAATCTATCAACAGTATTGCCAATTGGTAATGCAGAAATTATATCAGACAACAATCAACTTTTGAGAAGAGTGAGGAGTGAATGAAGAGCGATGCATGGCACATCTTTCAGAGTCTTAGAGGTGAAAAATCAAAATGCTAATTAAGTTGGTGTTGATACCTTCAAAATGAAATCTGACTAAATGATTTGACACATTCAGGAAAAAAGTAGTCGGGTGTTGAGATCTTTTTCTTCTTCTTCTTTTTTTCTTGATGCCTTCATAGTTGTCGTTGAGCTGACAAAACTATTGCTATGAAAGCGAAGTAAAAAATCCGATAGAAGCTTCGCGGTTTTTTTTTTTCGAAAATGCGGATAATCGAGTGAACTATGATCGAGGAAGGGCATCATCCGTATCTTTTTTTTGCGCTTTTCGTAATTAGCAGTCTTGATGGGTGGCAGTTTTTGAGGTTTCATATGGATGTATTAATGGCTGGAAGTGGAGGACTGGATGAGGCAGTTGAAAAGGTCTATCTGATCCGTTATTCCTCTGATGTCCATTGTTCTGCTATGGGCCCAACGATCGGTAATAAATTTCTTTCGAGCATTTCAGCCGAGCAATATGCATGATATCTATGTATTCATCCGATTTATTGTTTTTGAGAGAGCAAAAACAACATTAAAAAAGTTGAGCAGTCTTTTCAGCTGGGAGAGCTTAGTAAAAAAAAGAATCACTTACCCTAGCCAACCATAAAGAGCCAGATCGATGATCAATAGAAGGACCTGGAAGAAGTGACTCCAGAGGAACAGGAAGTGTAACATGCCGAGTGGGATGGCGGTAAGGAGTGACTGATAGCCATGTATTCGAATGTAATCGTTCTTAGTCTCGAATACGAGCATGATGAATCCCATGAGAGGAGTACAATAGGCCAGTCCAGCAAGCAGATCAACCCGCCAACTGACAAACCATTCAACTATAGACTATCAGCACGGATCAGTTGCAATCGTAGTGGATGATAGATCTCCTTCTTTTTTGGGTTTGTTTGTGTGTGGGTGTGTGAAAGCTCACTCACCCTAGCCGTGTTTCGTAAGCCTCCGCATTGAGATACAAGGTGGGAGTGTTGCCGGTCTGGTGTCTGAGAGGATTCGAGCCACCGGGGGCGTCCTGGCCGAGACTTCTTGAGTACGAGCCCGAGCTAGTTATAGTGCTGGTTCCCGGTTGAGGATCATAGACTTTCGGCTCCCGAGGGGATGATGAGTATGAGCTGAGTCCGCTGGGATCCACCACCGGTCCGCCATGTTGGTATGAGCTCCATGGGTTGCTCGGGTACGGCTTCGACGGCCCTGGAGCTCCGCCCTGGGTCCTCGTGCTATCGCTGCTCGAGTTCATCTTCCGGCGTTCGTCTGGTGGGGGAGCGTACGGAGCAAAGTTCATTTGGTTTGAGTCGTTCGGATGAATCTCCCCAGATGGACAATCAACCGGGTCGAAGGTCGTCGTCGTCGTTGTGGTAAGTTGAAGGTTATCTGACTGCAGTCTTGTTCAGCCGTCTTTGTGTGCCGAGCGGGCCCGCGGGGGTCACCTGAGCGCATCGCAGGCTCGCAGCCGAGTAGAGCGGGCTGTCTTTCAGCGGACGTCGAGACAACCAGCTGGGCCCATGCTTATTTGGGAGCGTTTTTCTATATTTCGTTGACTGACCTTACAGCGACCATTGTCACTGCTACTACCAGTGGTGTGCTACCATTGAATTCTCAACATCTGTTTATCTGTGATGCGCATTCTCAAGTCTTTGAAAGTTTGCACTAACGGTTGGTTTGACAGTGAGTACTTGAAAGTGGCCAATTAAAGAGAAATGTGGACTGTCCACTCATCATCTATATTTCGTAACAAAAGTCATGAATGCTGAAGAGAACGGACCTTCTTGACACTTCAGAAGTATTAAACAAAAGCTGATTTTCTTATCACCACCACCAACACACATATTCTCAATCTGTGACTCTTGATCAACAGTCCCGCAGAAAAAAAGCTGGGGCCTGATTGAGAACGACGTGCTTGCCCGCTCGACGGGCGGCCCCGGAGGTTGCCTCCTTCCTTATCTCTCCCGTGTCATAATGGTCCTGCTGCACAAATGTGACCCTCACAAAGTTATATACACAGCTCATGCTTCAATCAACTTCTTTTCTGTACTTGAATTGTTATCTTTGCTGGCATATAAGCTCCGCCAGACTGCGCGTGCTACTGAGTAATTGTTAATGGCCCCAACATGTGATAAGACTGTAACCAGTTCAACACCAAACAAAACCTAATGTCATCAGCACAGTCATTGTCATAACCTGCCAATATTGTTCATTGTTACCAGAAAGATAGTTCATATTTGATTTCCATTCCAATCTAAAACCTCTCGGCAGGGCCCGGATTAACCTTACCAAGAAGTTTTTGTCTGCTGGAACTTAAATCTTTAACACGTACTGGGTCTCCCACACAGAAAAGTCTTTTGCAAGGTTAGATTGAGTATAGGTACAAAGAAGGACGGCTAATACTTCAACCATTATACCACATATCTATGTTACACCATCATTTTTTCTTATCAAACTAGCAGAACTATGTCAAACCACACTTGTGACTTGTACCAATGTGATATCAGCGGGGTTCACATTTGAACTTTTTGCTTCTGAGCCTACTTAAAAT